AAAAAAAAAAAAAAAAACAGAGAGCATTTTTTTTTTTTGTTAAATGGTCAAGAGTGTTCTGGGCCAGTTTATTTGCATTTGGATTAATCCTCTTTCTGATCCGGTCAAAGACAAGCGATATACACTAAGATTAGGGTATTTGTGAATAATAATTTCTTGTAATTTAGTTCCAACAGATTGTCAAAATTTAAACTTAAAACGTTTAATTTTACAGTTCGTCCCTATTTTCACTTGTGCTACCCAATAACAGGTTGCATTTTTACTAATGGTGCACTCTATCTCAGAGAGCGTGTTACTAAAGTAGAGAGTGACTTTGTAAGAATGATAAATCAAGAGTGAATTTTGTCTACATTTCTAATATGACCCCTTAATTTTATCGTCAATGCTTATTAGAATAACTATCCTTCAACCAGAAAGATACACATGTAAATTCTGTAATAAAAAATAATGAAATAGAGCATAAGTTTCACTCTCAAAATGCAAATGGCCAAATTGATCGACTCTCCATAGTAAATATAGATAAACTAATGGAGATCGTTTTATAGGTAAAACCATAAGGACTCGACAAATATTATCCAAAAATAGAAAACAATCACCTTCTGTGTTTTGTCCATGGCAGTTTGATCAACTCATTTTTCAGGTGCTGAATGGATCTACTTTACATCACAAATGAACTTCCGACCACTCCATTTCTGAAAACCAAGCGTTTAAACCTATATATAAACAGGAACAAATACTGAATTGACTCTGAGACCACCCGAATGGGGCTAGAAGACTCTACCCATCCATCCACGCCAGGGATGATGATGATGGCGGTGGTGGTGGTGGTGCTATAGAAATTAAACCCCAAGCCATCATATATCTTTCAATCCTATTTGAACTGTTTCATAAGCAATTTAAATTCCATAAGCAACAAAAAAAGTTTGGACAAGGATACAAGAAATTTTCTAAAAGGGAAGGAAGTCAGAGAATGAAAAATGTGGGATAAAAAGAACTGCAAAAAATAATACAGGCAATGACATGTCCAAAATGGTCCTTGCAAATTACACCATCAGGTGACAGAAAGGCAACTTTATTTAGGGGAAGAACAAGCACCTAATCTACAATCTAGCATCCTTACGTGAAAACCATCACCCAATCCTTCCAGCACAAAGATCACCACCAATAGAGAAGAATTTTGGAGCAAAAGATACATCTTCAGCTGAGCTGCTTCTAGACCAGAGTGAAAATAATAATTCTTGATTAATAGAAATTGAACCACACAAGCACCGAGCAGAATACCCTCTTCTAATCCGCTCTAGACTGACCAGCTCGAGAAGAGAGGATGATGCCAACGATAAGTCCATAGAGAGCCAGTGCTTCAGCAAAAATGAGAATGAGGATCATCCCTACAAAAAGCTTTGGCTGCTGTGCATTGGCTCTGAAAGAGAGAGCAATAAAACCAGAATCACTCCTTTTACTAAAAAGATGAACGACAAGCCACATACATCAAAAAACAGTAAATTTCTGGTGCAACCCAATCAAACATCAATCAATAATGGGCCAAACATTAGATGGAACCAATGAAACCACAGAAAAACATAACGTACTCAAAACCCAAGGACCAAGTCAAATTACGCTAGGCTGGAGAGGTTAATGTGTTGTGGGGTAAAAAAGTAAGCACGAGAAACTACAAAAATGGAAACTCAGTTCCAATATGTTTCCAACAAAACTAAACAAATTCCACTGCACAGGCAAAAGATCTCTCACACTTACTCGCTCACCCAACTTATAGTGAATGTACAAGAATTAATCGTTGTAATTATTCTCAATTACTAGCCTATTCTCATCATTCTTCCTCTTACACAGCCACAGCCACAGCCACAGCCACAGCCACAGAGACAATGAAAGACACAAAACAGTAAGATTCATGATACCATTGCAAATGCCACAGCTGCTAGGAAAAAAGTCAAACATAACATCACTGAACTTGTAGAAATCCTATATTTTCTTGTAACACCCGACTTGTGGATTGTGTACCTTTGATTCACAACATGCTCTGCTCCAAAACCCAAAGGAACAAATAAATCACCATTTTGAAGCAATACAAGTCCCAAAGTTCATACTGCTTGAAAATTAAACTAATTCAAAGGGCCAAACTGGGCAATTCACCAAGGCATACGTTATGAGGATAAGATCTTCCGACATCAAACTTTTAAGATGAACTGCTCGGTTCATATGCAACTCGAAACAAACACAACAAGCCCATCTGTAATCATATATTGATCCAGAAAATATAAAGAAAAAAAAAACAGATCTGCAAACAATAAAACAACTCGAATAAAAGAGTCATACCTAACACCGGCATCACCAACAATTCCAATAGCCATACCAGCAGAAAGTCCAGCGAGGCCACAAGCAAGACCAGAAGAAAGGTGAGCATAACCATCAAAAAGATAGTAAGACTTAGCCTTTGGGTTAATTCCAGTACTTATAATCACGGCAATAATCAAACCGTAAATACCCAAAACACCAGCCATAACCACCGGCACAATCGACTTCATCACCAGCTCCGGCCTCATCACCCCCATGGACGCAACTCCCACCCCACTCTTCGCGGTCCCATACGCTGCCCCCATACCTACCACACCAACAGATATACATATAAACATAATTATTCATACAAATCATCAAAAACAAAATTAAAACCCTAGATCTATAACAAAAACAACTAGATCAGATTGAAATTAGAGTTGAATGAGTTTACAGGAGAAGACTAGGGCAGCCGCTGCGCCGAGGAAGCCAAAGAACGGTGCCGTTTCATCGCCGCTAAATGTTGAAGACATGTTTGTTTCCCTAAAAGATTTGGGCAGAGAAGTTGATCGGATCTGAGAATTAGTGTATGGCTCCGGAGAGAGAGAGAGTTGTCCGATCAGCCCTTCTTTTCGTGACTTCTCCAATCTGTTCTTGGCCACAATTAAGACCGGAAAGCGTATAGACGTAGAATTGGTTGTAATTACTGATTTGCCCTCTTATTTGAGGTGATGATTTGCAACTTGCAAGGCAGACTGGACCTTTCCCCCTAGTTTACCTCATAGGCCCAATTTTGGGTCGATGGGCTACACATAACCCCATAGTGTTACCTTAGTTTTACGGCCTATGGGCCCTAGTTTTACCATAGTAGTGTTTTGACCTGGATCGTAGACTATTAGTTTTAAATGTCCGAAACTATCCTGTCATATATATTATCGTATATACCAAGGTGTTGAATAAGTGAACGACTTGTGCTAATTACCCATGTCTGTGTTCAAAAAAACAAGTCAGCTTGGGTTACTCTTGAAATCAATGCCTCATAGGCAAATACGAGAGAGAGAGAGAGAGAGGGGGGGGAGGGGGTTTTCCAACTTCCAAACCCAAAGCCTTCTCTGTCTATAACCATGAGTCTAAAGATCATGTGATTGGAATAGTTCTCGATTATCCCAAATAAAAGAATAAAAATACCTTCTACTCTAGATTGAAGTGAAGCCATTTTTCGCAATAAATGTAAAGTGAAACAAGAAATCTACTTGGTGTCCTTTGGAATTAGAAAACATCAACTAAAGAGTGTTGAAGTCCAGGGTTCTGTGTTCTTAGTATTCTTAACCCCCCCCCCCCC